CAGTTCGTAAAATGCCTCGGGACTGGATCTTTTGGACTCAATGGTTAACACCGAATTTTCTGATGTTGTGGGTAGTCCAATACATCCCCTCAAACGAATCTTGACGTCTGAGGTATCACATACCCGAACTATGAAATCACTATCTGGTAAGAGCTTAATAAACCTACCACCTCGCACCTTAAATAAATATATGGACGTACCGTTCTCGTCGTCGAGGTCCCATCATATACTTATACTCCCTATGCTATTAACACGCTCTCCAACCCTTGACTAACGCGCCCGTCGCAGGAGCGAGTACCGCTAGTACCGTTTAAATTATCCAAGGAATAGTATCTTAGTTCGTATCCAATTTACTGTCCCTTGTTGATTCCCCCAGCGACGTCCTAAGCTGAGGTCCGTACTCCATTAGGGGTTCCTTCCAACGTAAGGTTTAGTTGTAAGTCTTTGTTTCATGGGTATCGCTCTACTTCTATCTATATAAGCGCGCCGCATTATTCCAGAACCTCTCATTAATAAGACATTAACTTAACCTCTCGTTAAATTAAATGTTGCATCGGTGACGAGTCTTCTGTTGGTAGTTAAAGACTAAAGCCATGCGTTCACTGAGCAACAGTGTTTCGGATACACAGTTTCTGAAACATCACGTATATGTTTCCAGGAACAATGTTTCGGAAACTCTGCCGTCCACAAAGTCGATAGTGTTGATATGTGGTGCCTACATATTTTTGCATAAGTCCATTTCTTTAAATAATTATAATCCTGGACAATGTAAGTTGTTTGTACATTAAACTGATATTAGAACAGCACTCGTTTGCAATGAGTTAGCAATTATTATTATGGAATAGAATCAATTGCCTATTTCGTTGGCCAACTGGTCGCAAGTGCGACTGCTGGGCAAGAGGTCTTGGGTTCGAATCCCGTGTCGGGCAAAGTATTAATGGGTTTTTTTTAATTGTCAGTGGAAGCACGGAGTCCGGTATATGTCAATAGGCTCACCCCCATTACATGGGACTCGTAACATAAATAGTGAAAAGTGGGTGTTACATTGTACAGTGGCATTAAGTGCCATTGTGTAATGTGTACCCCAGCCTATCCCTTCGGGGAGAAAAGGCGTGATGTTATGTGATGTGTAGCAGCACTTTCGTACCGTACGTAGGAGGTTTCGTCATATTTATCCGGGTAGACCCTTGAGATACGTACTTTACGTTACGTACTTGGGGACCTATACTTTTAACTCGTCGAGTACCGGTTTTGTAGACACAATTATAGAACAATAGGTTGCGGTCACCGGTGACCGCTTGGTGTTTGACAGTTTAATGGTTGTTTCATGACAACATACAATGCTTTCGTCATTAGATTGAGTGACTGACAGTAGTGTTTTGGCGCAAGCGCCAGACCACCGCGAAACAGTTGCACCCGTCGTAAAAAAAAAGGTATGGCCATGCTCTAATCACGTTTCTGCAGTCCGTTTTAGCGTAGGATGCGTGGTTCTGGAGTTATGCAAATCAATTAACTGTTATCTCATTGATTTCCGGTGGTCCCTCATTAACGTTCCATTGTTCGCCTAGTCCTTTTCTTTTATCTATTTTACTTCGAACATTATCTATTGTACTTAGAATACCCTGATTACGGTTGATTTGGCAAGAACGCCATCTATTACTCATTGTTAACCCTCATTATGTCTGATTTTTTATGTCATCAATAAAACACAACCATTTATTTTTATTTCAAAATTTTATTACCTTTTTCTACAAAATATGAGTGGAACATCTCATCCACAAAAATATCATTGTACTTACAGTGTGTTCCCTTCGTAAAACTATGCATCGAACATCCCTGAAACTTAAACAGCAAATACATTAAGCAATATTCACCACAAACTGAAGTCCATTCTGAATCCTATCAACATTCCAGTCCCATCTCTTAAAATTCCTTTTCAAAAACTGAAGCTGATATCGCTCAGGAGTTCGTCCATATGAATCAAAATATTGACCGATGCCATTCGCATCGATATGTACAGCTACCCAGTGTGACCCTGGTTTATCATCCGCATCCAAATTGCATACTATATACGTTGGTACATGTGTATATTAGGTAGTCTATTAGCAGCATAATTCATGCGAATGGCATCAGTCAATATTTTGATTCATATGGACGAACTCCTGAGCGATAGCATCTCCAGTTTTTGGAAAGGAATTGTAAGAGATGGGACTGGAATGTTGATAGGATTCAGATTGGACTTCAGTTTGTGGTGAATATTGCTTAATGTATTTGCTGTTTGAGTTTCAGGGATGTTCAATGCACAGTTTTACGAACATATTTACAGGGAACACACTGTACAATTATATTTTTGTGGATGAGATGTTCCACTCATATTTTGTAGAAAAAAAAGTAAAAAAAAAAACGAATTTTTTTTTTTTTTTTTTTAAAAAAAGTTACCCCACACTAGGATTTTCTCCTGTGTCGTGGGTGCGTTTACAAACATACAAGTTCACATACACAGTGCCACCCAGACCCGAAACAACAATTTGTGGATCACACAAAGTGTTGTTCCGTGCGGGAATCGAACCCGCGACACGTTGCACGGCAGCCGGTTGCCCAGCCACCGCACCAACCGTGCAGTCATAAAAATGAATGTCAAACATAATGAGGGTTAACAATGAGTAATAGATAAGAACGCCAAATCAACCGTAATGTGGGTGTTCGAAGTACAATAGATGATGTTCGAAGTAAAATAGATAAAAAAAAAGACTAGGCGAACAATGGAACGTGAGGGTGCAGGGTCGCGTAGAACCTAACGGGTTACCGGGGCTCCGGCTCGACGTGCAGGAGAAGGATCGGGGTGGTTTTAAGTCACTAAGAGTCTGACACTCCCTCCCGCCTCACCCAGGGTGGAACAGTCATTCGATGATTTTTCCCCCTTAAAAAAATGAGGGTGCAGGACCACCGAAAATCAATGAGATAACAGTTAATTGATTTGCATAACTCCAGAACCACGCATCCTACGCTGAAACGGACTGCAGAAACGTGATTAGAGCATGGCAAAACCTTTGCTTTTTGTTTTTTTTTACGATGGGTGCAACTGATTCGCGGGGTATCCTCGGCGCCTATCCCCACTTCTACTTACAATTCGCTACTGAAATTACTGGTCGTAGGAAGCTATGATAAACACACCGGGATTTTACAATAGTCCACTTTGTGCTGCCCTACTCTATAATATAAATTAGCTACGTTAGAGAGCATGCAGAGAATTTTTCGAAATTCCTTTACGAATCGGTGTTTATGCATATTGCGCATACTACTACGTTATGTGCTAAAACCACCGAGATAAAAATATAGTTAAGTGAATTGGAATATTTTGTATGTCAAATAAAAAGTCATCAAAAGTGCAACACGAAGCATAACTGTAGATAATAATGATTAATGCAACGTTACAATTAATAAATGCAGTCTGCGGCGGCGCGGTGTTCCATTTTATATAATACGTCAATTAATTTACGTAATTTTATGTAGACATGCATAGCATTCTTAGATGAGTAAGAATAAGATTAATATTAAAAACGATTCAATTCAGCATAGTTATCAAATGGCTCCTCCCGCCCTAGGTAAAGCGAAAGGGAGTAGGCTTAATTCATTCTTAACTCATTCTCCGGCATAAATTCACCGAGGGAAGTGGAAACTGTTGTTTTTTTCTCCTCTTAAAATATCGTCTGATTTATTTCGTTGGGGTAACTAAGACAGTAATTCTATATATATCCCTGGGACGCGCCGGACTTCAGTGTGTTTTCATAGTTGTATCTACTGTATTTCCTGGCTTACAGGAGTTGCAGCGGTTTTGGGAACTTGTGTTGGCAAGTTGTGGCGGGCTTGCCCCATTAGAAAATAGCCCCGGAATTCTTAATTTGTATAATACTATTGTTCTGCTTTGTGTCAATAAAATGAAACGTGGATTTGAAGTATCGGAAAATTGATCGTTAACACGCTGTTATTATAGTCGTGAATATTTTGGTTATGAAATTGCCATAACTAAGTTCACTCAAAGACAGACTGAGTCGCTTGTAAAGTTGCCTATAAAAGTAGTTGTATAGGAATCTTCAATCTTTAGGCTGTCTGAAACCGGTTGTAGGCACTTGAGACAAGTACTAACTGCGTTGATGCTAGCCGTCTTGCGTTTTAAGAGATGATTCGGTAGGTGGTATTTAAACAAAACGTATCTAGATTTCCTTATTACTATCATTGTTTTCTCTTTTTGCTACTGTGGATAGATATAATTTCGCAGGCAAATGCTTAACCCGACCTATTTTACCTTTATAAGATAAACCGCTTCTCTATTTTATATCTTAGGCTCCTGGAGTTAAGGTGCAGTTTCCATCGCAGTTTTGTAAGAATCCCTTTATAAATCTCAGTTTCTCAGCGGAATCCCTTTGTTCACACTATTCTATACCGCAAATCCAGTCTGACGATGATATCGACCTGGTTATGTCATGTTCAGATGTAATTAAGTTTTCAAGCAAAGAGATTTTTCGGCTCAAGAAAACTTTTATATTTTAACTTGATAATAATAATTTTTATAGTGCTTATCTGTATTTGTTGAATACTAATCTGTTATTAAGGTGCTCCCTTACCGGGAGCTTTTGCGAGTAATGTAACGTTACAGATCTGAGCATTACATCAGTGAAGGTGGAGAACCGAGTATTACGATGCGCACTTTGTAATGATACAATGTGTCATATCTTGATACAACTTGTAACATCAATGCGTTCCATTTCCCCCAGCCTCCCGCCCGCCCGCTTCATCGTTCGCTACACCTTGCTATGAAATGTTCAGTAGAATCAATATGTTACATTACACGCAAATGCTTGACGCACCGGAACAATGCTTGATTCGATCGAGCTATTCACAAATTTTACGATAAGAAATTATAACTTTGTTTAACTTCAATCTCACAGTCATAAAAAAAATGAAACTGTCCAATTAACAAGTATCTCATCACTTTCCAGATGACGAGGCGCCTGACTCCGCAGGCTCCGAGGCAGAGGAAGAAGAAGTAAAGAAACCGGCGAACAATGTCGCCAACATATTGAAGAGACTTCAGTCCTCTGGAGCTCTCATAAAGAAACCTAAACAAGAGTTCCGATGCTACACCTGTGACGAAGACTTCCGAGATTGGGAGGAATTGGAGAACCACATTATCCAGCACGTCTCTCTACCCTCCGTTGTCCTCGTCAAATTGCCATCCGACGACGAAGACGAAGGGGCTTCTGAGAATGAAAACTGGTCCGATGAAGAAGAAGACGCTTCCCCACCCAAAGCCCCACAGAAGGTCACACCGACAAAAATCGACATATCGCAGCTACTGAAAAAGGGCATCTCCGTCAAAAAACCAGCTGACAATGAGAACAAAAACGATTCGGCTCTAAACAAACTTAGCGGATTGGGCTTCACTATTAAAAAGGGCAACACTCCGGTCAAAAATGAACCAGAACAAGAAGCAAACGCTGACGATGTTATGCAAAAACTTGGCAAACTTGGCGGCATCAAACTAAAATTAAGATCAGACGGGAACAACTCCAACTCCTTCAAAGTGATCAATGGACTCAAAGATTTCAATGCTTCAGATGATGAGGGACAAGAAAGCGGAAACGACGACAGTAGAGAGGACCCAGAGTTTGACGAAGAACCAGGCGATAACGAATCCGATGGTGAAAATGAACAAAGTCCACCCAATATACGCAAGACATCAGAAAGTGATGACTCAGAAAAATCTGCTAAAGTCAAACTAAATTCATTGAAACATTTGCAAGGAGTAGCTATAAAACCGAAGGAATCTCCAACGCCACTTAAAGTTGCTGTACAACAAAACAAGCCAGGCGGCAGGCCGGCAGTTAAACAAACTCCAAAAAGAGGTGCTAATCTACCATTATCCGTAGCACAAGAGAGGGAAGTCTCATCTACAAAGTCATCTTCCAGCACTCCAAGTAGTGCGTCTACACCAGAACGACGTGAATCACATTCAAGCATGGAAAACGTGGTCGTGAAGCAAGAAGTCGAGGCTGTTGAAACGCAGTCCTCAAACGTACCTATATTCTCAACTCAACACCAAATCAAATCTGAAAGGGCATCTCCGCCAGTACCAACAGGCGATGCGTCTACTCCAATATTAGCTAAGGTCAAATCAGAGCCAGACGCGTTAGCATCACATCAGAATGCCCCAAACAATGCTATGGCTATGCACATCACATCAAATAATTCCACTCAACCCCTCCTTCCAGTTACTAAAAAGGAGGAGCCTAGCTCTGTAACTGTTATAGAAATAAATGGAGATTCGAACGATGAAGACGATGACTGCTGTGTGGTATCTGCTACACCAGCTCCTGACGTTAAGCCTGTGGTACCGAAGACGGAAAACCCTGCCGTTTCATACCCTCCACCCTCGTATCCTACCACACAGGCAAGTTACAGTTCCTCAACCATGCTCAACTCTCGCCTGACTGTGCCCTCAATGGAAAAACAACATAATTTCAATTGGAACGCACCAGATTCCAAACCACCATTAGACATGCTTGAGAAAAGTGCCGATGACATTTTCAACAGCTTACTAGCATCAAGCTCCGCAAAGAAAGAAGGCATGTCTATATCCGACGCTAGTGAATACATATCATTAGATACTCTAGGACCTCAACATACATGTGACGTGTGTAATACTAGGTTCACTGACATGGCTCTGTTGGATGACCACAGGAGGATGACAGGGCATACGAAATCTCTGGTGCTTCCGGCTTCCAGCTCTACACTTATGCCTTATAATTCTAGTTCTAATATTCTATCCAGCATACTACCAGTAAAGCAACTGGCTGACCAAGTAGGAAAGCTTTCTACTATCAGTGGAAGTGGTCCAGGATTTACTCATCAACAAAATGTTATGATCAATATTCAGGCGTACCCGGGAGCCGGTGGTATGATGATGAACCCACAAGGTGGTTACAACTCTTATCCATCTGCACAGAACGTACAACCTGATTATGGTAACAATATGTATGGACAACAACAACAAATGCCAGGCCAGTACCCTGGACAGAATTATATGGGTCAGCAAAATTATGGCCAGTTCCAACAACCAATGAATAAACCAGCGCCTTATCCGAATACTATGCAACAAGGGCAATTCCCCCCTTCATCAGCGCCGTATTCTACGGCAACTCCACTGCAGGGTATGCAACAAGCCGTTTACGGTCAAGCACCTAGTGCCGGGATGAATGTTCAGCTGGGGCAACCATTAGGACAAATGGGTCCCCCAGGTTCGCCATACGTTCCGTCATCAAGCCCTGGTGGAGCTATGAAACCACCTTCAGGAGGCGTTAAAATTCAGAACGTGCAAACCTTCCCTCCTGGTCAGCCTATTGGCATGCCGGGACCAGACCAAATGGCCGGGCCTCCCGCAGCACCCGGCTCTGTTGTAGTCGGACAGATGCCTGGACAGACTCAAATTAGAATGGCTCCGGGTGCAAATATTACAAGACCACGAATGGCCGCTCCTAGAGGGCCTCGGCCTGGAATACGGCCGGGTATTCAAGTACACGCTCAGGTTCGTGGACAAAAGCCAGGAGCGCGAATGCCAATGAAAAGACCAGCACAAATGGCTGGCGGGCCAGCTCAGAAGCGACGGACAGACATGTTGCTGCCTGGTAAACATGACAACGAGGATTGTCAGGTGATGGCTATGCAGAAACAGAGGGAGGGACTGCCAATGATACATAGTGTACAAGGAGCGAAAGATAAGTTTAACTTAGGCAGCCAAATATCCATTACGAAGAAGACAGTCAACAAAGAAGCTAACGCGATGGCTAATGTGTTGGCGTCACGAGGGATAAGTGTGAAACAGAAGCAGAAGAGTCGCTCGCCGTCACCAGAGCGTCCTGCGCCTTACATCCCCAACTTAGGCGCCGGCGTTAGTATAAAACATACGTCGAAATCGAGTAACTTTTCGATACCAGAGGCGAAGGTGGGTGGCGGTATGATGGCCTGTAAGATTTGTAAGAAAATGTTCATGAACCACAATTCACTCGCAGTGCACATGTCGAACGCACATCCGCAGAGTAAAGTGCCTGTGTTTAAATGTGACGAATGTCCAGCTTCGTATCCAAAGTCGTTGCAGCTGCAGCATCATAAGCGGGTGTTCCATAATTTGACTGGTCCTAACAGGGAGCTGGGCCTGCCTGTGGTGGACTTCTCACAGGAAGAGAACTTGAAGCGGTTGAGTAATTTAGGAATATATAGTTTTATACCTTTAGCGAATAGGGAGCAAGCGGGCGGTTGCTTCGGTATACCAGTAATCTCAGCGCATAATGTACAAAATGGTACTTCAATGAGTTTGCAAGCTCTGGGAGCTGATGGACTACTTAGTTTAGGGCCTCTAAAACCTTTACCAAATACATAGACATGTACTTTATAGTGTGGTGTGCGAATCGTGCGATGGAAACTGTGATTTAATGTCTTTTGTGTTAAAACTGAACATTAATGTGAAACTAGAAAGTGTAAAAATAGTGGAAGAACTGTCGCAAATGTTTAACAAAAGACTTGAGTGAAACCTATAAGAATGGATATTTTGTTTTATAAGAGTGGATTTATTTATGTTACAAATGTCGAATATCAATATTTTTTCACGCAAGTACATTATATATAACAATATCATATAATTATAGCATGCTTACTAAGTTATTTTCATAGATAACAAAAATATATGTTTATAAACATTTAGATAAAGCTGTAATAACATACATATAGACAAAACACTCCATATTTATTACAATAGAATTATAGGAGAATATGTAGATGTTAAATCCAACACAGATAAATGAAAATAGTCCTTAAAACAACATGTTAAAGGCCATATTTATTAGTTAATATTTTTTTGGAAATTTATTTCAAATTAGAGACTATGATGTACCCAGTATCAGTATAAAATGAATTTACTGCAATACTATTAAAAAAATACTCAAAACGCCCTTAAAAAAATTTCTCTTTTTACAAACTTAATGAAATGACAGATATAGAACTATATTTAAATGGTACAACTTTAAATTGAGCATTTTAGGGGAAAAATTATACAGAAAATGCAACTGTGTGTACCACAAATTATTGTTCCGTGTCTGACTATCATGTGTATGTACAATTGTATGTTTGTATCCAATGTGTTTGTTTTAAAAAAGAACAACTGTTTTCTGAATATTTATAATAAAGCAAATGCTTTATATTGGTCATCATAGTCTCTGATAAAAATGAAAAAAAAAGAAATGACAGATTTATTTTCAAAAATTCTCGTTTTGTTCCTTTGAATGTTGGTAGTAAGACTGCTAACATAATATGAATAGTAAATTAGTAATAAGTTTAATATAATGGCCCCATCTTTCTGTGAATGTACATTATTCTCAAAAAACATCATCCATTTTAGTGAATGACTCATTTTACCTTTACATTTTGACTCAAAATCGGTGATGTCTTTTTTTATAATAGGGTAGTAGCTTAAATTTTTTTTAATGTCCGTCTGGTAGTTTATTTTAAAGAATTAGACACGTTTTTTTTTTTTAAATATTATATACGACGATATATTGATTTGAAATAATATGTGACGTGACGTCACATATTGTTTGAAATAATGCGTGACAATAACAACCTCGCACTCCTAAACATCTAAGTATACGGGTAACCGGGGCTCCGGCTCGACGTGCAGGAGAAGGAACGGGGTGGTTTTTAGTCAGTAAGAGTCTGACACTCCCTCCCGCCTCACCCAGGGGCACCCGGGAGCAGTCATTCGATGATATTCCCCCCTTAAAAAAATCTAAGTATTGTTTTCTTATACAACAAAATAAAAAAAAAAACATGTGTCTAATATTTGTTCATTATCTAACTGACGGACTAATTACATTTTTAATTTTCATACACTGTCTACTACCCTATGGTAACAATCTTGTACTTCGTCCATTAGTAGAGCAATATAATAGTTACAATAACGCTACCGTCAGTTATAACCCATAAATCCCCAAGCGGTCACCGGTGACCGCTTTCCACTAATATTACATTACATTATAGACCTTATTTGTAATGTTTAGAGACTACTTTTGTATGACCAAATTTAGGGGATGGATTTCAACGGGACTGCGGCACTTGAGTACTTGTCTACCGAGAGAGTAGAAATCTAAATGTATGGAGATGACACTGACAAGTGGCAAAATTTACGTCAATCCCATATAATTTACTTACCGTCGCCACTCGACACTGGCAGTATAGTCGATAACTTCGTTTTGGAGACCCGGTTGCCGAAGTGGAAAAAAAAATTTACTTTTTTTTAGGAGGTCGCGCTCCTGTAGCTTCAGCTCCAATAGAGAATTCTTCCTGGTGTCAAATCAAAAGTCAAAATCATTTATTCCAATTAGACAGTAAAAGACACGTTTGAACGTCAAATAATAATATAAAATGTGTTTGTCTGTCAGTCCTCTAGTGCATCTATTTGCTCGTTCCAAAGTGTATTTAACCTTTTGAGCGCCAATGTCACATATACGCGACAAGCGAAAACTGTCCCTGGACGTCAACGACACAAATACATGACAGAAAAAGCGGAACCAGAAACACGAATTATTGGAATCCCTATTGTTGATACAATAGGGATTCCAATAATTCCTATTTCTTTCGTAGAAATTTGCGTGGAATTTGTGGCTTGGTGTCGAAGGCAGGTTCATGTGTTTTTGCTCTGGCGTTCAAAAGGTTAAGAAATTCCTATTGAGAAGGAAGATCAAGATAACTTCATGGTTACTCTTTTTTTTTAATTAGTTTGAGAATCTTCAGTTCTTGGCTCTTCAAGTTCCGATTTGTACGATCGTAATAATGAATAATACTATTTTTGACTACACAGTCATGTAACCAACTTCTCGTGGTCACCTGTAGTCGTGTGAAATAAAATTTTATTCATTTCTTGAAATAATAATATTTTTCTAAAGCAGGACTTTAACATCAGATCAATTTTTTTTCTGATTCTAACTGTCGCACAATCAAATACTTTATTTAACCATTGAATAAAACGATAAGCATGCATTGTAATAATTGTGTTTCGATTCTTATGGCCTTACTACATTATATTATGTTTGATAAATACAAATATGTATAAAAAATTAAGAGAAGTTCATTTATTTTTTCTGTAGAAACAAATTCAATGTCAACGAAGGCGCCTATCCTCAATTAGATTACTATCATGCAAAACAATAGGGTGAAACCTCTTGAGTGTCGGTATATGATACAATATAAAATACATTGTGCCTCGCGTAGATCTACGTTCCCGGCATACCACGGGTTAATTTAAAACATTAGACACGTAATTTTTCTTAAATACTTTCGACGATATATTAATCTGAAATATCGTGTGACGTCACAATACGCTACATTTTGTAGCACTTTGTGACGTAACGACCTGACTCCTAAACTTAACTCCATTTTATATGTGTTGTAACTTTATATGAGAAATTAAAAAATACGTGTCTATTTTTTTTTTCAATATCGAACTGACTCACTAATTACATTTTTAATTTTCATTCCCTGGCAACTACCCTATTCTTTAGCTCAATTGAAATAAGGTTGTGTTGCCAAAGTACTGGCCACGGACTTAGTATTTGAAGTTATGACTTAAATTGTTTGTTGGTAGCATTTTCATTTTGAGATTTGTAAATTGTGCAATGATCTTTTTCTTAAGGCCAGTTTTAATTAGCTATCTAGGTAGAATTGTTTATTAAAGATGGAATTTTGACATATTTTACATGGAGCTTTGGTTACCAATTCTACAAATAGATAGGGTACTAAGACTGGCTATTTATTATTCATCTGCGCCTTCGAGTGAAAACCGATAAATAATAAGTATTTTTCATTTACCTTTTGACTAACATTTTTTATTACTGTTTTTATAAAAGTGATGTAAGTAATTTTAAGGATTTTTTTAAGTGCTTGTTATAAATGTCAAAGAGTCTTGTCACCATGGAAATAAATTATTATGTTTTCGGATTACTCGCGTAGTAATTCGACGAGGAACTCGACTAGTTTCAAGCCATGCTAGAGGCTCATAGTATGTCTCACGAAAGTTACAATACAAATACCATGGAAATAATCAAAAAGTTTCACATAGTAATTTGTACTTACATATTTGAGCATCCTTTCGGGAAAATAGTCGTGTTACGCTTTTATTACTGGACTAGTAGCTAAATTACCCATTCTTTTACTTAACAGGCGAAAGGTTAACTAAAAGGTTAAACAGATATTCATTTTTATGTCTCATGCAATAGGGGCTGAGATGGGCAATTCCAGACTCCATGCTACTATATTTTCATAAAATAAATAGATTGAACCTAGTGTAATTTATCAAAGTTATTATAATAAGGTTTTCATTTAAAGCGCAGATGTAACTATAGTCTGTAAGTAAATCGTGTAATGTATACACAAGAGGTAAATATTATGTTTTTGCTTTGTAAAAATGCGCGTTCTTTGTGCATTAACTACATATTATTAAGCTAGTATAAGCAGAGGAATATTTTTTAAGTTAAACTGATAATTAGAGATTGAATGACTTTTTTATTTTGAGTTGTATTTAAAAATATGACTAGGTCTAAGTTTAAGAGAAATTGAGATACGGATGATGATTACAATACATTTATGAATACTATTTTGTTGTTTTAATTTTGAACCCTATTTTAAATTTTCGAGTCGAATACCGGGCAAGGGGTCTCGGGTTCGATTCCCGGGTCGGGCAAAGTATTACTGGGTTTTAAAAAAATTTTACATGGGACTCATAACATAAATTGTGAAAAGTGGGTGTTACTTCTGTGCGCACCTCTGCCTACCCCTTCGGGGATAAAAGGCGTGATGTTATGTTATGTTTAAATTTTCTGTAGTGATGCCCGAAGTTAAAGATCGATTTCAAAGTCGAAGCCAATATTCAAGTCATTTATTTTATTTAGAGACTAATATTAGGTACCTTTGAACGTCAAAGAAAATAAAGAGTTTCTGTTTATTGGCTATTCTTTTATGGAGCTGGCTACTCGTTCCAAAGTATAGATTCCTTGGGAGAACGAGCCAGAAACTGGTACAACAAATATTTACGGAACATTTAATAGGCCAGTATTATTCTTACTGGAGTTAAAAAAATGGGTTTTAAGTTTAAATAAAGTTAAGGAATTTTTAATTACCGAATACTTTCGAAAAAGTTCGTTTTATCCAATGCAGCCCGTGGGTGGGCGCTCAGTCATAATGTTCTCTTGTCAAAGAATGTACCTAATTATGAATTACAGATTGTATCAGCTGTAGGAGCAAGCATCTTTAGATGTAGGTACAACTACACTTCAAGAACATATGTATGAGTATATAATACCAACAAACAAAAATTCAAAAAACTATTGTTTTTTGCTTTGATATCGATTGTAGATCACGTGCTCTTTTAAAAAAATATTCAATGTAGGTATAGTTTTGACTTTCCTACAATTTTTTCTGCGTAGTAATAGGTTATTGATTCAGTGTTTGACAGTTTAAAGCTGTAAAATAAATAAGTATATCCGAAATAGCTTCATATGTACCTTCAAAAGACAAAGAAATTAAGTGAAACATTCTTAAATTATTGACAAACCTCAATCGCGACGACTGGTATCCATTAGTGATACCTCTGCGGGTATGTATAGGATCATTTTTGCTCAAAGTAGAATTGTATCAATGAATCAATCTGAAATATTACGTTGTAAAATTCACCATTATTTCTACACAGTAATTTTAAAAGCACTTTCAGTTGACGAGCATGCCTATTCATGAAACGAAAGATGTACCTAAGCCAAGGTAGAGAGTTATTTAATCGTCAGTTCTATCTTCCATTGAGATAGGCGTGACGATATATGTGTAATATATAGGCATAGTAACGCAAATCGTTCTAAGATAATATACATAAATACACTATAATGAAATTATATTATAAGTTTAGTTCTTTGAATTCACAGTAGATGGCGCTACTTGTTACATAAATTCGCTTATTGGTGGATGCAATATAACTGGTAGTAAGTTACATTGTCTAGTGCTCTCGATTTACTTCTTTTCAGAATAGAAGGCGTGGTGTTATAAGTTATAACGGATCCTACAAAGTAGGTACCTACATAAATTAGCTTAAAGAGTAGTTGAATTGGCGTTAAATGGGTGTGAAGTGATGAAGTGGTCTTGCTTTGCCCTCGCAGCACGCGTAGATACCTTCTTTTTTTAATTGGGAATATCGACCAATGACTTCTCCCCCCGTGAGTGTGGCGAGAGAAAGTGTCAGCCTCTTAATGATAAAAAACTACTTTGTTCCTGCTCCTGCTTCGAGTTAAAGCCCCGGTATCCCGCTAGGCCGCCCATAGCTCCGGATATTACGTGTATCCTATGTCTATAAGAACAAAAGGTAGGTACGTCTACATCGAGACGCCACGGCAAATTGCCACCACTGTAGGGATGACTTAGATGCCGCACAGCACACGCTCGAGGAGTGCTCAGCGTGGACCTTTGAGCGACGGATCCTAGTTGCCAAGATCGGGCGAGACCTGTCTCTGCCGGCAGTAGTTAAGGCTATGCTGGCAGATACACAAAATTGGCGAGAAGTGGCCTCCTTTTGTGAGACAGTATTGTCCCAAAGAGGCTGGTGAGCGGGATCGCGAGAGGGCCGATCTTGCTCGTAGAAGGCCTCGAGGTAACCACGCCTCGAGGCCTAACACGC